CAACTGGTTGTCTCACTATTCAGTTCTTTTCTGACATTAACTGGGGTTCACATGACACCACAGGTTTAGGGCCTCAGTCCCACAGGACTGCTTACATTTCAGACGCAAATCACAAGTATTAGGTCCAAAATAGCTACAAATCAGCTTTAAGAATTTGTTAGAATAGATCAGGTTGTCAGATAACTAGTGTTACAAATATGTTATAAAGGATATGACTCGGGACACATAAATGCAGGTGCACAGGACAGGATCCTGGGCTGATGGTACCTGTAGCTTCCCAGCCCTCTCTGGGCTGCCATGCTCCCAGCAGCTCAATGTTCCAGAGTCTGGAAGCTCTCCTCGCCCTGTCACGAGGGGGTCTCGATGGAGTCTTCATTACATAGGTGCGGTTGATTAAATCACTGGTGACTGATTAATCTCCAGCCTGACTCACTTCCCAGGGGTGGAGGAGTGGAGCTAAAAGTCCCAGTGCTTACTCACCACCTGGCCTTTCTGGTGACGATCCTGTCCAGAAGTCAGTAGGACCCAGCCTCCACTCTCACTAGCATACACAAGACAATCAGCACTAGGGACTAAGAACGTTAGAAATTAGGTGCATGGAACCAGGGACAGAGACTAAACATTCATTATATCACAGTAGGGTACAGAAATACAGTTGTTTATTTATTTGGGTACCGGGGATTGAACTTGGGTCCTTGTGCTTGTAAGGCAGGCAGTGGCACCACTGAGCTAAATCCCTGGCCCTACAGTTGTTTTTTATATATTGATACTGTATCCAGCAAACTACTGAAGTCATTCATTAAATAGTTCTTTTTATAGAACCTTAGGATTTTCTGTCTGAAAATCATGTTATATACTAATATAGTTTTCTTTCTTAATTTCCAATCCAGATGACTTTATTTATGTTAGCTTTTTTTTAAATTTTAAATTGAATTTATTGGTACATTCTAGGTAGACAGTACAGTTACATTCATTACTAGGATCTTGTATCTTCACATGCCAGATCTTGGTTCTCATTTTTTCTCCTTGTCCCCACTTATGTTAGCTTTTAATTTAAAATTATTTTCTTGCCCAGTTGCTCTGGCTGGAGCCTCCAGTGTTGAATGCAAACAATGGAGGAGGATATCCTTGTCTTATTCCTGATTTTAAGGAAACTTTCTTTTTCTTGCAAATATAGTATTAAGTATGGATTTTCTGCTTAAAGTTAATATCTTTAGAATACCATTATAGCTTGAAGAAATTGCTCTAGTTTTTTTGTTTTTGGGTTTCTGTGGATGGAGACATACTTGTCATTCCCATTACTGGTGATATTAACTTTGACCACCTAGTTAAAAGTGTCTGGCAGGTTTATCCGTTATAAAATGAGTACTTTTTCTCTTTATAATTAATTAATTCATTAATAAGTACTTTGCGGATGCTACTTTTGAGACCGAATATTTTATTCCTCTTCAAACTCTCACCCATTACTCTTGTTTGCTCTTGCAAAGCTGGGGATGCAATTCAGGGCCTCACATGTGCTAGGCAAGTGCTCTGCCAGTAAGCTACACCTCCTGCTCTTACCTGTTACTTTTAACATTTACTGATGATTCAGTTACTGCAAATGTGATTGCCAAATAGAAATTTTGTAACTTCTAAATTTCTACTTTATTAGTTGGTGGGTGTGTTAATTTTGAAACAGCCATCCAGGTGCAGATGTTGAGAAGTGTGGAGCTCAGGGAGCGCTATAGGTTGTCATTTTAGATGTAAGCCCAGCCGTAAGGCAGCAGAGGGTCTTCCATGTCCCCTCTTGGCCAGAGTGGCTTCACTAGGCCTCATCATTGCTGACCTATTTTGGAGACAAACCCTAGTTCTTGTTGGCATGAGAGCCTGGGACTGGAGTTCTTGTTTCCAGGTAGTTGTGTGTTGAGGTGGTGTTTGGTGGGAAACGTACCTGACTATTTGATGAGGTGGTGCTGGCAGTCAAAGTCCTTGCAGGGTGGCCCCTACCTGAGCAGCACAGCCTCATGCTTCTGCCTGTGTGACCACCATGTCCTGTGATGCCCTAATCCCAAGAACTCCTCATCCTGCAAATCCCAGTTCTCCAAAAAACCTGCCCTCCTCAAGGTCTTCAAGAAAGAGTTCTTGAGGCTCCACTCTGGATTAGACACTGAGATGCAATGAAAAACTTGATTCCTGCCCTCCGGGAGCCTCCATCCCCTAGGTGGAGACAAATCCTCATATACAACAACAAAGGTAGATATATCGTCACAGCAGTGAGAGCAAAGTGTAGAGCAAGGGGCTGACACAGGCCTGGCCCAGCCGTGACCTCAGTTCCCCGAGGACCTGCCACCTAGGGGCTGAGGAAAGAGCAGGTCCCAGGTGTGGTGGGAGAAACATGGCACCTGTCCTAGGCCTGGGGACACCCAGAGGGTGGCATGCAAGGCTATCATTGGAGGGGCACGTGTGGCCTCAAGGCCCCACGGAGGCTGGCTTTTCTCTGGCAGGCTGCAAAGGGTTCTGTGCAATGATCTATCCCCCTTGGCATTAAAGTCTCCTCTGGCTGCCTCAAGGCAGGGGCCAGACTGTCAGTGGGGACCATGCTGGGTCTGGCCATGGATTCACATAGGCAGGAGACACATCTTCATGTTTATCATGAGCCCTGCTGGTACAAACCATCCAGGTGGTCTGTCCTGGACAGCCTTCACCCTCCCAGGTTCCGCACGGTCCTTGACCTGCAAACAACTGGTACCAATGGCTTTGTTTTGCTCTTCTGTGCTTAAGGCCCCTGAGCTCAGTACTGCACCTGGTAGCAGCTGGGTCTTCTCTACCTGCTCTCTAGGCTGAGATGGCTGGCAACTCCACAAGACTCTGGGTACCTGCAAACTTGGGGAAGCTTTCTGGAGGTTCTAGAAAGGAAGCTTGGATCTTCTGTTTCATCTGCAACCCTGTTGGGCTTCTTGGGACTCAGGGTGTCTTACAGTCTCTTCCTTCCTTGATCACCCAACAGCCTCTGGGGAGTGCTTCCTGTTTCTGCCTTAAGTCTTCATTCCCTTAGGTACTGGGCTTTGGAATCATAGAAGCTTCTCTGGGAAGCTGCTGTAAGCCTTTCCCTTAAGCGACAACTGCCTTCCTGATGGAACAGGGTTTAAAGAGATAGGACGGCACCTAAGTCATATTCTTGTCAAAACAGATAAATTTGTTATTCAAAAGATGCTTGGATACTTAAAAAATACAACTATCACGAAAACTAAAGGAAAAAATGACGAGGAAACTGTTTTTGATTGAGACATTAGAGAAACATGGTAACCAAAAGCAGTGAGTGCACAAGATCCCAGTGATGAATGTAACTGTACTGTATACCTAAAATGTACCAGTAAACTCAATGAGTAGAAAAACAAAACAAAACAAAAACAAAAGCAGTGAGTGATCCTTAATTGGACCCTGCATGGACTAGGGAAAGCCATAAAGGCGACTGGTAACTATGTTTGGTACTTTTTAAGTAGTATTAGTGCCTGGGCTCTGAATGTCGTGGGTGAAAGAGGTATAAGTACAAAGAAGATTCCTTTGTTGAATTTGAGGGTGTTAATGGTATTGTCAGATAAGAAATGTCTCTTCAGGAATTTCATGACATTGTTTTGTGAGTGGTGGATCTGTGCCAGGAGTGCCAGGTCAGAGGCCCAGATTCTGCATGTCACCTCCCAGCCCATTCTCTGGTACCAGGAGAGCATCTCTTGAGGCCTGATCTAATCTCAACAGAAATCTTTAGGATCTGAAAGGCTAAGGGTCTCCTCAGCTCCTGAGGCCCATTGGGGTAGAGCTGGGCTGCTACCTGGCCAGTGACTCTCAGTCCAGCTTGGCCTTTTTCCCTGCATTTAGTCACAACTTTGAACAGCTGGCTCGGTGCTGGGTGTGGCTCAACACCGCTGCAACTGGAATCTCATCTTCCTCAGTTCACCCACACCGGGTCCCCAGGCAGATTAGGTCCAGGGAGCGAACAGCCCCAGACATTACTGAGAATCACCCAGGGTCACTGACACTCAGCCATCACTAAAAAATGTGTAACGGAGCCAGGCGTTGTGGTGCACGCCTATAAACCTAGCACTCAGGAGGCCGAGGCAAGAGGATTACTGCAAGTTCAAAGCCAGTTGGGGCTACATAGTTCAGGGCCAGCCTGAACTACATACTGAGACCTAGTCTTAAAAAGAAAAAAAAAAGTGCATTGGGATCTAGGAAGTACTTTGAGCACAGGTGGTCTTGGCACCTGTGTCGGGAGGGCTCAAGGGGAACTTGCTGAGCCTGGGCAAACTCCTAGGAAAGTGGGATCTGTGCCTCCCTAGACTTGAGGTTCATGGTATCTGACTGGGTCTAGGGAGGAGAAAGGGTATCTATACCTCCAGAGCTTGGCCCCGAAACCTGCTAACAGCTCTATTCCCACCACCCCAGGTTGGCACCTACTGTGCCTTCTGCTTGCAGTCCTTTCTGCATCCCTCAGGCCGCTTGGTACCTGCTCATTCTGATCTGGGCACAAGGCTCCTGCCCAGACCCAGCTCGGTGTGCTGCCTGGCTCTTGCCTCCTGTCATATATTTGAACTGTCTCCCTGGCCAATGAGTTCTGTGGGTAGGCTGTGCCTGGAACCAGTGAGTGCTTGGTGTTTGGTGTATGTATTTGTTGGAGGTGCAGTTGCTAGGGGAAACAGGCTCGCTATCCCAGATGTGCAGAGTGCAGGTCTGGGAGTTGTCTGCCCATTCTGGCTCCTGTTAGAGCCAACTACTGATGAATTTATTTCTCACAGAAATTTGGGGGGTAAATGTGCTCTCCAGATGGATTCGTGCACTTTGTTTTCTTACCTGGGATAATAGAGCTCACAACTGACAGAGCTGGAATTAGGGTTGACACTCACCAGCGGTCTGCAAAGAGAGAGCTTTTGGGAGGGGTCTGGCTCAGTTTCCTGGGAGTGTCCACTGCCACCCTCCTTACCTCAGCCTGGCCCATCCCCTGCAATAACACCATGAGCCCACGGTACACATTACCTCATTTATTCTCACAACATGCCTGTGAGGTAGGGAGGGGCAGGGACTGTCCCCATTTTACAGAGGAGGAAGTTGAGGCACACAGAGGTCAAGTGACTTGCCCAAGGTCACAGACGGCGGCCAAGCTGGAATGGGGCCTCAGAGCAGGCCCTTGGTTCACCCCGCAGCACACACCAGACAAGAGGATGTCTCCAGTGCCCCCGAGTCGTATACACAGTATAGAGCAGCCCCTCGTGTGCTGAGCTCTGCTGCACACGGCCTCTGCCAGGCTGCCTGCCCTTGCCTTGCCCTCCCCACCCCGCCCTGCAGACCTGGGCCTTTGCAGCTCAGGGCTCAAGACACCCCGGGAGTGGGGATGCGGGACAGGATGATTGGGATTTAAAAAAAAAAAAAAAAGAATAGGAAACTCAGGCGGGGCTGATAGGAGGTAAGACCCCCCCCCAAAGGCTGCTTACACACAAGGTATATATTTTTACACACACTTGTACACACACCTAGATATAGTACATGTAAAAATATATGCTATTCACACACCTGCTTCCTGCCAGGTGCCCGAGAGCCAGTGGCGGCAGCGCTGGTAGGCATGGGTGAGCAGATGGGTCTTAAATATACACTCTAAGGTCTATGTGCATATGTACACATACGTACAGACCGCCACTTGCCCTCGGGGACTGGACACAGGCGTGGCCAAGGACAGACAACCCCACCCTGTGGCCAAAGCCACAGTCCTAAATCTGCTGAAGGAAGGAGGGCTGGAGAAAAACCGCTGGAGTGTGGTAACCTGGCTTCACCTCATTTCCCCCAAGACCAACGCCTTCTTTATCTGTGGAGAGGTAAGTCCTACCTGACTCTGCCTAGGGCTGGCAGGTCATGGGGGAGGGCAGCCCCGTCTGTGTGTGCACGTGCAAGCGTGTGTGAGCGCTTGGTGGGGGAGGAGGGATGCATGTAATCTCGATTTTCTCTGAGCCCTTAGCCACAAAAGCCATTGGCCTTGATGGGGACCCCTGTGAGCTCTCTGAAGGTGAAAGAAAAATGTAGAATGAAAAATCCAAGGTCAGAGCAGGGTAGCTGGGAGAGGAGGGACATGGCAGGTGCCCAAGGCTGCCCTTGGACTGTCGTTGTCTTGTAAACAAGCTAGTTTAAGTTCTCATTAGATAGAACAAGTAAAAAGACTGAAGTCTGAGGCTCAGCTGGGGAATTGCTGAAGTCCATCTACCTAGTCCACCACGGCCAGCAAGAGGGGAAAAAAGTTTTCTAGTTTTGTTGACGGTTTTTGTGTGTGAAGTCTTCATAACCTAAAGCTGGGAGGGACCCAAAAAAGCCAAATTGTGAGCCCTTGTATACATCAATTTGAAAACTGGCTCAGGGTCTCTAGAGAGAATAACCATACTAAAGGTTGATAAAATTTTGTTCCATCTGCGTTGTTTTTGTGTGTGTATTTAATGATTTAAAATTGTTTCGTTCCTCCTTCGTGGTCTCAGAGCCTGGTCTGGGCCTCAGGGACATAGATCTCGATGCTGTCTGCGCTTTCTGTGGCTGAGTTCTGCCGCACAGAAGCTGCCCGCTTGGCTGCCAGGAGTCTCTTTCGGGCCTCCTGACGCTGTTTGTCCCCTGAATCTGAAGCCTTGTCACGGCTCACTGCCGGCTTGGATTTGGCTGGCTTCTTTGGGACTGGAGGGGGTGGTTTCTTCTCTTCCTTTAGCGAGACAGTGAGGAGGGAACAAAAATAAAACAAAGGTGCCACATTTGCTGTGGTACTAACCCCCACTATATGCTGGTGGCTGGAGCCAACCCTCCCAGCCTCCCCGCATTGGGCACAAGCAACAAACACAGTTGGAATCAAGAAGCCACAAGAAGCAATGACAGTGGGAGTGGCACAAGGTAGAGGAGCTGAAGCAAGAAGAGCTGAAAGCAAGCTATTAGAAGCCTAAGAATGTTCTAGAAGGACAGGGCAGTCAGACTGTCTGTTCCCAACCCCACTCTGAGTAGTTAGGGCACCTGGTCACCCAAATTTAGGGCTTCTGACTTCCCGCTCACACTTCACATGCTGTCGTAAGGGAATGGAACTTACAAGGGCCATAGTCTTAACAGGGTAGGTGTCACTGGGCCCAGACCCCAGTTCTGGCAGCAAGGCCCCAGGAGGAAGGACCCCTGTGCTGCTGCCATGGTTCCAAAAGCCCTGTCTCCATTAGTGCTATGGGCACCTCTTTCCCAGGACCCCCTTCCTGAACGTGCAGGGCAGGATGGCATGCGTCAGTGAGCAGCCTCTACAGAGTGAGCAGCATGCTGGGCGAGTGCCAAGCATGGACCCCGCGCAGTGATGGACGTGAGCCCAGCTCAAGACGACACACGGAGAAGGGAGCCAAGCAGCACTGACCGATGTGGGCAGCGTTATTGCCGACCAGGAATTTGTCCCTGGACTTCCCCTCCGCACTGCTCCATGCTCACCTTCCTCTTCTCCGGGGTCTCCACCAGCTGCCAGCTGTTGGCCTTGAGGTGGTAGAGTTCATCAAACTTCATGCTGATGTCCTCGATGGACAGCTGTAGCAGGTCCCAGAACCCTGCCAGGTCCTGGGCTGTTGGACGTGGGTTGGCGTCAGGGTTCTGTGGGGGCAGACAGGGATCAGTGGGGCTAGGAAGGCAGGAGATCATCATCCTACCTCGTGGTCCCCTGCCCTGCCAGCACTGGGTGGGGGCTCTTAAAGCCTAGTCCAACTCCCTGGTTCCCAGTGTCCAGGTCAGTATCTGTGAGTGAACAATGACAGTTCCTGGCTGGTGCCAGTCCCAGTGGCCCTCACTGAGGTATATTCAATAAGCAGGGACAGTCTCGGGCTGAGGATTTGGCTCAGTGGTTCCACCACCTGCCTCGCAAGCGCAAGGACCTGAGTTTGAGCCCCGGTACCAAAAAAAAAAAAAAA